TCGTTCACTCTTGGTCAGGTTTCGGCCACTATAAATAGTATAAACTCGATTATTGAAGAAACGCCAACGAAACTCAATTTTCTTTCTTTTCGCCAGACAGATAGTATATCTTATGTATGAACAACAATGCAACTACAAAACGTAACAAATTCTTAAATAGTAATTTAACTATTTAAGAACTAGTTAACCAACAATACAAAATGACACCCATATTATTATCAATATGGGCGGAAGATTAAAACGGAAAGTTGAGGAATGTATACATACCACTTGTAGAAGTTGAACTAAAGATGAAACCTGAAAATAAAATCAATAAAAATTATTAAACAAGTGGCTTTATAAACAGGAATAAAAGACACAAAAACATATAAAGCTAACAGTTCAGGAATTTGCCTACATGAAGTTAAAAATATACAAGTGATAACAAATCCCTGTATATTTTTTTTTAAAGATGGCAGGGTTATCATTAGAACCACAATAACCAGGACCATTGAAGCGGCTATAATACCTGGTTCCGAAATCGTGTAGCATTAGTAGCTCTGGCATTTAATGGCTTACAATTGAATTTACGAGACTTGATTCTTTATAAATTTTGATCACAGTAAGTTTACTAAATAAAATAATTTTCCATGGTTTATTTAACCATTATTTAGTTTTGGCCTTTTGAACAGAATTGTAGAACCCATTATGCCAGAATGCAATTGATTAAAATGTAATCAAAAGCATTTTGATACTGATAGTTAAAGAGTTTATAACACAACAAAAATTGAACATGGTACAATTTATGATAATATTTCATCAACTTTTTTAAAAATATACGAGTAAAAATAAACATAAAATAAACATGGTACAATTTATGAGAATATTTCATCAAATTTTTAAAAATATACAAGTAAAAATAAACATAAAATGAATATGGTACTACTAGTACTACAAATAATTTCACTGGTCTAGAAATTGTAGGTTTATTTACCTATGGATACTTTCTTAAAATACCAGTACTGTATTACAAAAATTTTCATTACACAGTATCTGTAATATTTTTTACAATGCATAAAAAACAATTTAATAACATATTGTTATATATTATAATTATATTTAAATAACTAAAAATAAAAGTGTGGGTAAAATTAAATAATATACCAACCCACACTTTTTTTAAAAGTTATTTAAATAGTAGTTCATTATTATATTAAAAGAAAATATTTTATTTCAGAACTTACATATTTTTAATACAATAGATTTGCTTGACTACAAACTATTGCATACAAAAGGAACAAGAAAAATGTGTTTGTAGTAGTGTGGTACATAGTACGTTATGTTGGAAATCTTAATAATTCATTTAAAATGTATATGGCGTCTAATTTTATGTCAGATTGCATTGTCATCCAGTCTTGACCCATGTGCCAGTTTGAAGTGATAGAAAATTTTGCTCTGCGAATTCAATCCATGACGACAAAAGCACGACAGAGAAAGCAAGTTAAATAAAAGATTGTAATAATTTTCACATTTCAGTTCATGATGTAAAAATGTTCTAAAAAGTTTTTTATAAAATTTATTTAAAAGCTGTTAATCACACACGAATGCCAAAAATTTAAGATGGCAAAAAGTTTTTTTTAATGGATTAAATAACAATGCACAATAATCAATTAATATGCAGTGTACAGATAGTTGTATATAGCAGTATTTTAAAATATGAAAATTAAAATGCAACTGTTAATAAAGTTAATGAGTAGTGCTCACCAACATCAGCCTCTCGAAGTGTTGCACAATCTAGGATATTGCAGTTATAAAAGTTTATTTCTACTAGGTTTTAATGAATATATATATATATATATATATATATATATATATATATATATATATATATATATATATATATGCAAACACAAATCAATATACACAGGTACTCAAACTACTTCATCTCTAAAACAAGGCAAAGAAGCTTCTGAGTAAGCTTGCCATGTGATCACAAATGCTCAAAAGGCTGTTACATTCATGTTTAGCTTACATAGTGGTCCTATCCAGCATGATGAGCAAGGATAAGACATATACAAGCCAAAAACAATTATCACCTCTAAAATGATTAATGATGTTGATTCGAAGGCATTTTACAATGTTAACGTTTCAATTGGAATGATGAAAATAAACAAACATGATTTATCAAATTTGAATATAGGCCTACTTAATTGCACACAAAGCAAGCAATTTCTTTGGTTCAAATTTTTTCAATGTTAAAACAAGGATGGTTACATTTTGTTAAAATAAAAAAATGCAAGAAAAATAAAGGTTTGGATCATTTTTAAAAAATGCATGAAGGATATAGATCTATAATATATTTTTGGGCTTTACCCATACTGCTAAAAGAGGATGTGATTAATATGAATATATGGAAAGTCACTTAAGTTTCAGGTTATACTTTTTTCTTAGACCTCAGCATATAAAAATTATCATGTGGTCTGCACCATAGCTAGTAGCTTTTGAATTTTTTTAAACTCAAGCTAGGTAGCCTTATCACATTTGGGAGGACTCAAGGACATTCTACAGACTTTAAACTGGGAACCAAATTCAAGACTTTTAGGATAGAAATGTAACCCCATCATTCCACTGGGTATAAAGTACGACATGGTTTAAATCCTGAATTTGAGTCAGCAGAATGCCCTCCCAGTTGTGTAAAGTACAGGCAGCTGGGTATAGTACTGACCAAGCTATCACTTTGTATGCACTGGTCACAGAAACCAATAAACTTGGGACTGTCTGGGTAACTCAACCGCAAATTTCACCCTATGTAGAAATCTTATAACACAGCCTGTAAGCCTACTAACAGCTTTTTTAACTTAAAAATTACAGTCCTTCCACTTTGATAATACATTTAGATAAAAGAGAATGGCTATGCAAAAAATAATCTCCAAAAGCTGAAGAGTTTGTCTTCAATCCTAGTTATGCTACAGTTACTATGTTTTAAATACTTCTTTCTTTATATTAGTTAATAAACAAAAATAATGATTCAATCTAAGTAAAACCCTTAAAAATGTATTTTTGAGTGGCCAGCAAGTACTTCATCCCAAAATGCTTGGAGTCAGTGGAGAAAAATAGCGCCCCATTTCTGATCTTAGGCAGCTATTAAAAACATCGTTCATTGACAACAGATAAAATAAATTATTTAGGCCTATTACTTTTTCAATAACGTAAGCAGTTTTGTCAGTGATATAAAATATAAGGTAACTCATGAGAGGATATAGAATCTTGAAGCCTATATTGGCCCTGTATCACTAAAGGAAAAGATGCTAGTCTAGGTCTCGTAATAGTCTCAGATCTAAAGAATAAATACAACTTTTAAAAAATAACCTAATGTCAAACTTAAATATTTACGTCAGAAAAGCATTCTAGATCTGGCAAGCCCCACACATTAAATATAGCCCACGCATATTATTTTTTTTATTGGATCTAGTTAGTATTAGGGCCTAAATTGAGGAGCCATAATGCAAAAGGGCTTAAGTGCATTCAAGATGCATTCTGAAAAACCCACCATTTTGTTCAAATAAAAATGTGTGTGAACTGATACTGAAAATTGATCATTCATTTTAAATCACTTAAGACTTAAGTGCTTAGCTGGAAATGGTTATGGTGAATTTAAAAATGGGTTTAACAAATTTTTTACGCAAAGCGTACTTGAGCCCTTTGCATTTCGATTTATTTATTAGACTTATTTATTTAGGCTACCAAAAGTTTATAGTATGTAGGCCTATATAGTCTTATATGTGTAATATATACACATGCATGTGCTAGGCCTTATATATTTTTAGGGGTATAGAAAATAAATGCCAATGATTGAACTTAGCCTTACTAAAGGCAAGCTCTATTGTGACATCACATGTAGATCTAGGACCTAGTCACTATAGAATTTAATATTTTAAAAGTGTACTAAGTACTAGGCCTAATTATTAAATTAATTAGCCTAGCTTGGTATTAGATCTAGTGATCTAGTAATATCAAAGGAAGGCCTATTTAAAATTTACGGCCTATTGTCTAGAGATCAGTATGATGTGAGTATAGTAGACAGAAATTATATTTTAGATGTAGATCTAGATCTATCTAACTAAACTAGATCTAGATCTAGATCTAATTGCATTCAGAATCAACTGAAAAATAAAAAAAGATTCTTATAAAAAGTATTACTAGATTCTATGGAATTTTAATCCAGATCTTAGTACTTAGATCTAGTAAGTTTATATTTAAGTAAGTTATCTTTAACGGCCAAGAGCATCTCTAAAAAAAAACCACATATCTTAGCAGTGCATCTTGACTAGAGTGAGTTAGATCTAGAGTAGACCTAGCTAGATCTATCTAGCTTCTAGATTCTAGATCTAGTAGTCTACTAATCTAGAATCTAGTCTAGATTACTCTAGATCTAGATCTACTCTAGACTAGACTCCAATTTACTTCAGAATCTAGAGATCTAGATTTAGATCTAGAGATCTAGATAAATTTAGAGTCTAGATCTAGACTATATCTAGATCAGTCTAGATATCTACTTCTGGTGTTCCCTTACTTTTATGGAAAGGAATCGTCTTGTGTGCATCTGACTAATATGACGTTTTTTCATGATCGGCATTTTTTTGCTTTTTAAAAACAAAAAAACGTAACGAAAGAACTGTAGGCTAGACGAAGCGTGCACCTGATTCTGTCATTGCAGGGCAAATAGCCGTTATTCTTTAGGGCTTTTGACTGGAAAATGGTTTGTTAAAAAGTTTTCCCGAATGGCAACCAAAAAATTAGGCCTAGTCTTTGGCAAAGTTTTGGACATATTCTTTAGTCTCAAGACTAGAGCATTATAGATCTAGCTCTAGCTCTAGATATAGAATCTATATAAATTCTAGATCTATTATTTTATTTATTTTTTAAATAATACATTTATTTAGGAAATGTTACTTTGACTAGGGCCTAATGGAATCATTCTCTTTAGAAATATTTGTTTTCAAAATACGAAACTAGATCTAGTTTTTAAAAGCCTACCCTAGCGCTAAGTCTGAAGATAAGCCTAGGGCCTACCATAGGATAGGCTGGTTTACCAATCATATTTTATGAATATTCACATTGAATCACGTGGTGAATTTGGTAGGCTAGTATTAATAGATCTAGATTCTAGATCTACTAGATCTAGAATTTATGGCTTGTAAATATAAATATCAGCTTATCTAGATCTAGATGTCTAGACTAGATCTAGATCTAGGTGTAGTGAATGAGAATAGCAGACTTGTTACTGACATTACTCTCATTACTGTCACATTACTGTTAGAAATAGATCTAGATCTAGATCTAGATCGTAATCCTCACTCAACACATCGAATTTTTCCATACTTCTAGATCTAGATTCTAGAGCTAGAATCTAGATTCTAGAACTGGGTAGAATCTAATCTAGATTCTAGATCTAGAATCTATCTATATAAGTATATTTATCTAGAACTGTCGATCATTGTTCATTGTAGTGTTTGGATCAGAATTTAATTGTAAGCTGTAAGAGCTAAGTTATTAATATTAAATTGAGTTAGATATAGATCTAGATCTAGTAAAGTTAGATATTAGACAAGTATGTACATAGTAAATAAAGCATTAGCCTTAGGCCAGGGGTCGGCAACCTGCGGCTCTTTTGATATCAAGATGCGGCTCTCCAGCTCCTTGCACAAATACTAATAATCTTAATCAAAAAATAAAATATTTGAGATAAAAAAATGTTAGTGGCTCTTTAAAACCAGGGAAATTTTTAAAATTGCAACTTTTGGCTCTTCTGTTTCAAAAGGTTGCCGACCCCTGCCTTAGGCCTATTTATTATTATAAACAATGGTCTTGGTTTTGCATCAAGGATAGAGTCATTGATTCTTTATCTAGATCTAGACCACAGTACAGTAGGCCTACACTAAGTCCTTGTATGCTCGAGAATCGAAACTGAATTGATGGTTAGCAGGTTAGGCATACACATACAGTAGTTCATTTCCTATTTTAATTTAACGGTAATAAACACTTATAAACAGTAAGAGGAATATATACTATAGATCTAATATAGGCTATACTGCTATACACTACTATAGTATTTTAATTTTTAAGACTTGGCTTCACAACTATTACAGTACTATTACTAGATCTAAATAAATAACACATATCAGGGGGGGGGGGGGAAGAATCACACTCCTTTCATTTATACTCCAATTTTGAACTCTACATATTCCTATTTAAAACCATATAGATTATAGATTCTATGCCTAAATTTAATTTAAAAAAAATTTTTTTTACAGGCAATATGCAAGAGAATCCATTTCCTGATATAACAATTGCAGACTGGACATTTCTGGATGCCTCTGGAGGACGAAGTAATTGTCCTAAATGTGGAAAGTCTAGAAAATATTACTGTTATAATTGTTTAGTTCCACTTCCTAGCCTTAGTGCTGAAATGCCTAAAGTGAAGGTAATGAAGTGTTCCATAAATAGATAGTATTTAGGCCCTATAGTATATTAACTCTTTCTATACCAGAGGCGGTTCCACCTCCTGACCTCATTATTTCTGTGACCAAATTTTTTTATACAGCCCTCACCTACTTAAACAATTATAGCTCCTATGTTTTTCTAACCTGATTTATGTATTATACATCAAAATGAACAGAAATGAAATTTCTATTGTAGTAAATGAAGATAATTGTGAGTTATGTTAAAGAATGTAGGTTTTTTACATGTTAAATGACTTGTTAAAGAAACAAACACTAGCAGTGTCGAGCCGTACCTTGCGGCTCGCGAGCCTACAGTGAAGCAGGCCCAAGCCGCATCTTGCGGCTCATGGGACAGATTAAGTTAAGATAAAATTATCCAGAAAGGTCTTTATTTAAAAAAATGGTGCAAATAAAAACTGCATCCTTATCAGTTAATATTACAACTAAGATAGTATCTATTTGGCTGGTTCACAGTAGGTTTTACATTTTTACCATGTGCAGGCTAGCTTGAGTTTTAATTACAGTATCAATTAACTTTTTATAATGTAAATTAAATTGTAACTATGATATATTATTATATTAATATTATTATATTACACAGCTCCCAATTATGATAGACATAATAAAACATCCTAGTGAGACAGATGGTAAGAGCACTGCTCCACATGCTGTTATAATTGCTCCAGAGCATGTTTCTATTCACACATATCCCTGTATTCCAGATTATGACCCTGTTAAGGTTAGTTTTAAATGAATGTTTATAGTTATAGACATATTTTTTATATTAGTGTATTGTCTTCATTTTTTTATGTCTACAGATGTTTTTTTAGGGTAAATGTACTTTTTACTTTATTGAAATCTCTTGTCATTATAATGTTTAAGATAATTACTACCCACAACTAATGTAAACTTAAAACCCTATATGATTTATCAACTATTAAAACTTGAAAAAAAATTTAAACACAGGTAGTTGTGGTATTCCCATGCAAAGAGTCATTGACCCTGGAGGACATCGCATCTTCTGCTGGGAAAATGACTGCTGAATCTAAAGAAGTAGAGCAAAAAAATCAATTGAGTAATGACTGTGAACAAGATTCTTCCAGTTGTACTGATGCATTAGAAGAAACTAAACCCAACTCTTCTGATGAAATAGGTAAAAACAAAACAAAAAAGAGGGTAATGGAGATCACAGACATTAGTACGGAAGAGACTCCACCTACTAAGGTGATCAAGAAGTGTAATGCTTTACCTTTTGAAAAAGTTGTATTTATCGATTCAACTTGGAATCAGACCAATAATATTGTCAATGATGAGAGATTAAAAAGTAAGTATATTATTTTTACAAGTAAATTTTAACTTAACATTCCAATAACTACACCTGTTTATATATAAACTCTACTGTTTTGCCAGAGTGTATTAAATTCACAACTTCTTGATTTTTCAACATAAACCCTACACCCTTTTTTCCCCCAATGCTGGTTATTTATTAAATAATTTGTTTCCTGAAGTTATAATGTCTTCCTTTATATACCATGCATTTTTCTTTTATAATTATAATAATTAAGCCTACTATTACTATTACTAACATATTATGATACATAAATGATAAATTTCTTTTTCAACTTCAGAACTTAGAAAAATAGAGCTTCGGTCACGGAATACACACTTCTGGCGCTCACAAGATGGGATTCCTAGATCTTATTTGTCAACAATTGAAGCAATCTATTACTTTCTTAAAGATTTTCACTTATTATTTATAGATTCTGATTACAATCATGAATATGATAACCTTTTATTTTTCTTTTGTTTTATGTACCAAAAAATTCAGAGCAACTTAAAAGGTAAAAAACAACTCAAAGCATATCAAAGATAGCTAGATAAACAGATGTCTGAAGATACCAATGTCCATCAATACACTTCCAAATAATAATCATTAAAAAAGTTTTAAAAAACCCACGTTTTCTGATTGAACTAAAAAGTAGAAAATAAATGCTATAGGCCCTACATCACAATAATGCAAGCGATCACTCTACTATAAGCGATGAAAAACGTGGGGCGCCGAAGTAAAAGTTATATTACTATTGATTAGATAATACTATTGACTTTTATTAGGGAGCTTGTAGAGAGTCAACAGTATTAGAAACTGTAAGAAAATCACGGCGCCCCACGTTTTTGCTCGCTTATAGTAGAGTGATCGCTTGCATTATTGTGATGTAGGGCCTATAGCATTTATTTTCTACTTTTTAGTTCAATCAGAAAACGTGGGTTTTTTAAAACTTTTTTAATGATTATTATTTTCTACTTTTTAGTCTTTGTCTGTTTGTTTGCATTAAAATCTTGCTATCAATTTTATCTTTTCACTTTTTTTGGGTAAACGAAGACAACTCGTAAAAAGACAACTCGTAAAAAGACAACTCGTAAAAAACACGTTGTTTGAATACGTTACTGACTAGAACACATAGATTTGAACCCGTGTCGAGTGGGATAGCAATCGTGTGCCCAACCACTCGACCATATCGTCTCCCCCAAACTGGCCTACCTCCAGTAAGTTTAAACTCGGTTCAAGCTAAATTCTCTGCCCCTAAGCCTGTGGCGACATGTGATCGTTCGCTTCACTGCGCGCGAGGTACGCGTCGCTGGTTTTTTTTCTAATGGCTAGCAGAGGAGAATTATATATATAGATTATATAGCGGTCTAAAATGCTCAATAAAATGTTTCCATTGATCAATTTAGTAATAATAACAATTGAATATTCAATGGTCATCCAAAAGAAAGCTTCCCTGAAAATTTCAGCCGCTAGCTAACTGGGAAGTGCCAGAAATTTCGATCGCAAGATTGGATTGGAAAGACAAACAAATAAATAAATAAACACACAGAGAAAGCAAGTTAAAGAAAACGTGGGAAAAAATAGGTGTGTTAGGTTGTTAGTAGTTTTGTAATTTCAAATAGTTTTTTTTATGGTTAAAAATTAGGGTTAGGCATATTGTAGCACTACGTTGGGGTTAGCAAGCCATGTGTTTATTTCAGTTAACTACCAGTAACCTAACCCCTAATTTGAAAAGATTCTATTATGTGACACTGGTATAAAAAAAAACCCAAAACAACAACTGTTTGCATTTCTGGTCTTTCTTAGTTATTGAAGATGTATGAATTGTTTCTGTATATATACTAATACTACTAATAGCATCAATAAATTTAAAATGTTGTATCAAAACTGAATCTCATCCAATTTTTGTCTTGTGAGTGGTTTGAACAAAGTTAAATATGTAGGTCTACATGCCTATTATACCATCTGAATATGATATTTAATTTGTTTGCTTGAGGTAACAGTTGTAATGTATATTAAAGAGTGAAAGTGTTTATTTGTCATGTCAAAATGTGCTAAGAGTGTTGAATACAATACTGGCTTTGATGTCCTCACTCTGCCTAAAAGACTTCATCACCGCCAGGGTACGAGAAAGCCTAACAGATTTTCGCATACGATAATAGACCAAGAGCTAAAAAAAAAAAATATGGGTTTTTATTTATTTTAAATGAAAAATTATTCCAGAAACTTATTAGCGTATTTAGTCTAATCAATAAAAACACCTGAAAGTTGGACAACTTGTCTAAAGACCATTGAGAGTAGTAGTAGTAGTAAGCTATAGCTTTCGTGATAAATGGGATTGTATTTTCTGCAATGTACTTAATTAAATTGCTAGGAGTTTAAGTGAAAGACGCAGGTTTTACTAGTTAAAATACTTATTCATATTCCAGCTAACACTGAAGGTGTTTCTGTAGAAGAATGTGAAAAGCTTTTAGTAGTTACACCGTTATACGTAGTATGGTATGTTATCACTCTACAAGTTTGGCAGAGCTACAAGATTTGTGTAGCCTTATGACTACCTGTACACTCCTCAAAAAGTAGTGAAGTAGCATTAAAAATAAGTTTTAAAAAACTAATGAATTGTACAGTTAGAAATAGAATTGACATGGTACAAATAAAAATAGTAAAATAATCACACAAATGGAGTTTTAAGTAATTTTATTTAGATCTAGTATACTTGAATTTTAATGCAGCAATAAAATCAGCATAAAACAATTAGCCATGTCATGAACATGATTAACAATCCCACAATCAACCATAACTGACAAGACATGTAAATAAGTAATGTTCAAACTATAATCAGAATTGACATAAAACCACCAGTCTTAGTTTGCCATAAAAGATTTCTAAAATTACACTTGAAAAGTAAAATTCTTATTTTGTCAATTACGTAGGCCTACAAACACATTGGCAAATTTAAGAGGCGTAGACAGCATCCTGTAATGGAAATGGGATCAAATTTTTATGTTAGTAAACCTGCATCACATAGTGAATAATAGTATGGGGGAAGGGGTGTACATTCAAATGATATAGGAATATTTATAAAGAATTTTAAGAATGCATACTGTATGTAATTGTGGTTTAATGGTATTCAAAATGTGTAATAAAAAGTGACATGAGTGTAGCTGTGGTGGTGTGTAAGACTGGTGTCATTTAGGGAACCTGCCTATGCCATTGTGCTAAATATTACCATCATTTAAACATTTACTATTTCAAAAATTTAATGTAACATAATTGACTGAATTATATATTGCAGTCAATCAGGGGGGAAAAAGTAGCCCTCTGGGTTAATCAGCTCCATAGATGATTTTAAATTCTCCAGACTTATTTTAACCATATAAAACTAAAAGAATATATTTTAAAAATTTCAAAGAAGCAAGCATAATTAACAAATAATGATTTCACCAATACATCAATGACATTCGTTACTGAAAAAGCTGCCAAGCAACTTATTTTTTCTGGTCTGACACCTAAACAGTTTCACCATTCAAATCAGCATTAACATTTCTTTTGATAGTTTGAGACTGGCTGAAATACTTAAAAATCAGCCATACAGGTTATGCTGAGCAACGTTAGCCATTGAGGAGGGTCATATATCCACATGAACAATCATTTAGTAATTATACTTCTACTATAGGGCATACTTTCTTGTTACTGTAAGTATAACAGTGTCTATAACTTTCAAAACTTTAAAATAATTAAAAGTAGCATTGGGAAAAAACCAAGTAATCCTTTTCAAAAATATTTCCTAAAGTAATTTGATTATAATAAAACGACTAAATCATGATTAGCAGTAGTACAATATTAATCTCATAGTCTAACATTAACAGTAAGTAAATAAATTACATTACACTTTACAGACAAGGTAAATAGTGATACCTGTCTAATTTAATTTTAATCAGAATCAAAATCTGAGAGAGCAAAATCTTCAACTTGATCATCCTCATCATTTGCATGAGAAGCCTTGGTGGGCGATGCTTTTTTGTTAATTCCATTAATCTTTTTATTTTTCTTCACATTTGTTTCATCATCACCTTCACCAGAACTGTCCTCATCACTTTCACCAGAACCATCATCATCACTGTCACCAGAACCACCTTCATCACTTTCACCATCAGATTCATCAGCTGAATCTTCATCTGCAGACTGAGCCAACTGCTCCAACTCTTCTTCATCAAAATCACTGTAATCTTCACTGTCGGATAAGCTAGCAGAGCGTTTTCTTTTCTTTACATTGTTATCTTGCCTATCTTCCTTTAAAAGAAATCTGGTTTCATCATCTGATTCTGAATCATTCTCAAATAGCTTAGAAAAATCTTCTCGATCCTCTTGGGTAGCTTTGAGAGGTCTTTTCCGTTCAATTGTAGGTATATCAATGGCAGCGCCAGACACTGCCTCTTTATTTGAAATTTCATGCAGTAATTCTCTATCCCGCAGTTTACGCCATGAAGTATAAAATTTCCGTAGAGGTGTGCCCATTTGTAAAAGTTGATCTTCCCAGATATCAACGGAATTCTGATCATGTAAGCTTACATTTGCTTGCTTTCTCTTTTCAGTAACAAACTTTGCTTGTTCTTGTATTTTGTCTACTATCTGTTTAATTTGTTTACAATAATTAGCAGTCTTACATTTTTTCAAGAAACTCTTGAGCTGGATCACAGCTGGTATTATAAGTTCAGGAAAACTGATAGAATGAGCTTGAGTGTTAAAACTTTCCAATAGATGCTCATAGAGCTGATCAATAAGTCCATCTTTGAAAGCTTTTTCATGAAGCTGGGCTTTAGAAAATTTAAGAATAACTGCAAAATAAAATGGCTTTAAACTCACAGTTTTGTGCTTTTTATTGAAATCAACCTGGTCAAAAATCTCCAATAGAAAAGGCATTGTGGGAATATATGTTTTGGTTTTATATGACAGTTTATTAAGGAACTGAACACAGTGAAACCTCAGTGGATAGTAGCGAGTTGTTGGCAGTAATTTTATAGTACCAACAATAGTTTGCGTCAGTGGGTAGATCAAGGGCTGAAGAACTTCACTGGGATATGTTGTGGTTAGAAGCTGCACCCACAGGCCTAAACAGTGAATATACTGCCAATTATATACAGTTTGACAAGTAGCCTTCTTTTTTAATGTGATAGCATTACGTAAATGTATAGCCAGCTGGCGAATATATACAAATGCATACTGGGCACCCAAAGTCTGATCAATATTGAATATTTCTACCAATGACTTTTGCATGAAGTTAATAAGAGGAAGAGTTGAAGGTGATGTAAACTTACAGTTGCTCACATATGCCATATACATTTTCTTTATTGTTGTTTCAAGGAGTGCTTCTTTTTTTAGATGAACTATTTTATTTATACACAAAAATGCTAAGACTCTGGTAGTCTCTTCACCTGTTGTCCACATATTGATCATTCTCTTGAGAAACAACTTTGTTAGCGTTGGAAAGCTAGCATAAAAAATAACAAGTTTATGGACATGCTTCAAGATTGCATTCACCATTACAGCATCAGACAACTGAGTCAAAAGTTCAAGCAAAGCAGAGATATACGATTTCACCAAAACCTTCAACTTTTTCCATCTGAGAGATTTATCAGACATAACATTTTTTAGCTCAGAAATAGCTGGCACTTGTAACATTGTTTGTAGTGCTGGTACAACCTGGGTTAGGCAAAGTCTAACAATACTATTAAATATTGCACCTCCTTCGACAATATATTTTGAGGAATAATTTTCATCATCATCATGACCCCCAGCTTCTTTTAGAGCAGAATGAAAAGCTGACACAATTTCTTTTAGTATAGCTGGAGATGGTTTAGATTGTATTTTTGTAGTCCACTGCTCAATTATTTTATGCGTGAGGACTGTGCCATCTTTTCTGAAACTTTCAGTTACCTCTGCCTCATCATCCGAACTGTCATCACTAGCAACCTCTAGATTTTCTGGAGGCTTGTGAACAAATCCATCATTAGAATCATCTGATTCATCACCACTTGACATATTGAGCAACTCCTTTTCCAAAGAATTACTTACACCTTTAACTTTTTTTTCCTTTCCGGAAACATCACTTTCCATATCTTCATTTTCATCACTGAAGTCACCATCTGACTCAGATAAATCTTCGAGATTGTCTAACAAGGATTTATCTTGACCTTTAAGAAAATCGTAGAATTCCGGATCATTTTTTTGCAACGTTAATGCAAGAGAATTTTTATCAGCTTTCTGTTTTTCTTTTGGAGAATTCCCCACCTGAGCTTCAATCTTTTTGCTTTTTATTTTTTTTACACTTGCCTGCACAATCTTTGGTTTCTTAGCAGAAGCAACTTTATTTTCAACATTGTTGTGCTTTTCCTTCTTCTGTTTTATTTTTTTATTTTTCTTAATGGTAATTTCTGCAGACATGTTAGATGAAGACTCAGATTCACTAAAATCGGCGTTCAAAAACTCATCTACATTCATTTCTTTTAACTTTTTCTTTGCAGGACCCATGCTGTTGATGTGAGCTGCCATGATTTGTATTGAATGAAAAACATACACTCAGCTTATATTTTCAGAACTAAATTTCATTGATCTAAACCGTACAAAGCATACAGAAATGTGGATTGAAGAAACTTACTTAGATTATTTTTATTTTGAGTTTTTTTTTAAATAGCAGTACATTAAAACATATCATAAGATAGAGATATACATTAAAAATGTTAAATTATTTTATATATTGTCCCTTTTTTTCACTTCCATCATTTAGTTTTTAAAAAACAATACCGCTTCCGTGTTTTCGTTTAGTGACAAATCATCCTTCCGCTTATCGCAGGGTTACCAAAGGAAATAGATAGGCAAAATTACTAGATAGATATTATTTTATAATAGTTAGACTTAAATACTCTAGATCTCTAGGATATAGATCTTGAAATCTAGATCTATATAAATATACTCTGTACACTTAAGTGGTGCCCAAGGGCGGGGAAGGTATGTTATTTAATTGTAATGAATAATTCCAATTCGGAGACTGAGAGTTGACTGCTGCTGTTTGATAGATGATAGAATAGATCTAATCTAGAGTAAAGTTCCACGCGCGGTCACACATAGCGGAAAATTCCAAATTCCCGATTTTCATCGGGCGCTATTTTATAACCGTTTCACACAGAAACAAACCGAAAGCACTGTATTACTCCGCTGCCATTCTACTGTAATATGTATGAGTCATTTTGTATTCCTACGCATAGTATTTAAGATATTCATGTTTTAGTGACGTCCCTCCTTGCGATATTTTTTTTCCCTTTTTTTTTTGCCTGCGTACGCAAGAACCTGCTTGCCAACGAGCGTATTGTATACGTTTTGATCCAATTTTAATAATTGAAATAAATATTTTACACACTTAAACGTGTTGTTGATTGTATTATTAATTAATAGATTGCAAAAATAATAATTAAAAACATGTTAATTAAATTAATTAAAGACATTAAAAGTTGACCCAGTGATGACTCAAGGGACGCAACTATAATAATCATAACAAAGGGACGTAACAACCACTAAAAGACATAACGTAACATTTGCTTAGATATGCTTGTATGTAGAGACACAAACTAGATTTAGAAGAAGTAGATGATCGAAATAATTTAAAACAGCAGAAAAAAATAGAAAGTATACAGATTCTAGGCTTAGTTTGAAATATAGAGCATCTAGAACTAGGCTAGTCTAGCTCAAGTCGTTGGTTACGCAGCGATGTGAAACCACCGTAATCGACACCCAAGCTGCGGCCACCCCTATTTACCTATCAGGTTGCTTTATTAGCCTTATCTATCGTATGTACAGTGTCCCGCATATATTGTAGAAGCTATTTATAGTTAACCTAGTTATAAAAAGCTTTGATTGGTTGGTTTTATTCATCTCATCCGGGACCTAGTGTTTTTCATAGGGGGAACTAGAACCGCATACGACGTCATACCTCGAAACTTTAAAATTAAAAAACTCGACTTCCAGAAGGAGAAAAACAAAAGAATTTGACCTGGATATATTTAGAAATGGACAGGTTTACAGCAGATATCGGTAGTTTCGTATAAAACATCAAAACAAATATTGTACGAAGCGATAAACAGGCGATGATCGCACCGGTGTTTTAACCGCGCGTGGAACTTTACTCTAGATCTAGAGTGGCCGTCCGATCTGCGCTCGTGAGCGGAACTCCCAATTTCCATTAGGCGCTATTTAATGACCGTTTCACATACAAACAAACCGAAAGTATCCTGTAACTCTACATCCATTCTACTATATTAGGTATGAGTCATATTGTATTCCTACGCATAGCATTGGAGATAATTCAAATTATGGAGGTGAACCACCTCGGCAATCACTTTTTTTTTTTTTCATCCTTCTTGCAGTCACTTGCGCTTACTTGACCCAGATCGACCCAGATTGTGCTCAGGACTTATTTTATTCATTTAGACTATTTAGTCTGTTAAAAGTTAATTAAACAAATAAAATAACCATTATATGCTGCATATTTTATGTGTATACTGTGTTATAAGTATGTTTAAATATTTCAATGATCCTTATTCAGCCTACCTATTATGCCAAGCAAGTCACGTGACCCACTTATCCTACCTCGAAGCTTGCCTGGTCACATGACTCCCGCTGAGCCTGTCAGGTCCAAAGAACCTTATGGCAAGCTAGGTCATGCTTTTCCCCATCCTTCCAGTGATCTAATTAACGTTTTAAACCAAATTCCTATTTAATAAGCAATATTCTGAGTTGTGAGCGCAATCGGGTAAGAAAACCAATAGGGACCAAAAATCATGTAATCACCCCTTTTTTCTAATTTTAGAAGAGAAAACCCCATCAACCTTGACATGTACAGTAAGCTGTATGTATCTAGAAGCTATTTTTAGCGTTACATTTTATCTAACTGTTGATTGGTTCAAGTTTTGAAGCTAATCCCGAACTCTGTCGGTACATCCGGGAGAGTGTGAAAGGAGAAAATGTGTACCATGCAATTTTTTAAAAATTATAATCAATTTTCAGAAAAACGAAATAGCATGAACTATACATAGAAGTGTTCAGAAATGAAAATATGACGTGCCAAACACTGCGGTTTTGCATAAAACATTAAAATAAAGTAGCTATAGCCGAAAACGTGACTTTACGGGAGTGCGATCGCAGCGTTGTGCATGGTGCAGATCGGACGGCCACTCTAGATCTATATGTATTTCGCAGATTTCTTCCGCAATCTTCCGTCTTTCAGTTCAGCACTTCAACTTGTCTTAGTCCGTTCACTTTTCACCATCCAGTGAATTGAAATGAACTGTTGTAGAATCTAGTAGTTAATTTAGGTAAATCTTCATTTTAGCATATTTTGTTCCCCGCTTCACGTTCACCTCCAGTTGAGCGTATTTTAATAATTTTATTATCAACACAACCAAACCACACATAAACGTTAGGAAAACACTAGGCCTATTTCTTTATGAACTTTTGTTTTAATTTTTGATATATTTACTTCTGTCAAAACTTAAGAAAAATCCAAATTTGGATAGGCCCTATTGAATGAGCACTAGATTCAGCTTTTTCTTCCTCTTGAAAATAGGTTCGTGTCATTTAAGGAGAAACTCATAAATGCAAGTCGGTTAAGTTTGTATTGTTAAAAATATCTCGCACTCATAATACTATAGCCTAAATAAACTTTTATATGAACTCACAATGGCCCTAAGCTAATGGCATGTCATATGCTGATAATTAAAGTGAACTCACAGTGAACCCTTCACCATGGACATGTAGGGATTTTCCTCCCGCCGACGATCATACGCTATTTAATTGAAACTGTAGGCCTAATGTTTATTAATAATCTTTTTTTACCTTTTCTAATTAAGACACACATTCATAAAAAATAAGTAGATCCATATCTATTACCTACTAATCCTAGTGTTTTCCTAACATTTTTGTGTGTTTTGGTTGTGTATATAATAAAATAAGGAGGTGAACGTGAAGTGGTGATTACAATACACTTAAATGGATTTTTACCGTTAATTTATTAGGAGGTGGAATTTTTTATACTTCTATTCAATTTCTATTCCGAATACAATACCCCACTGCACTACATACACTAGTTTAACTTACACTACACAATAATTAGGAGATTTAGGTAATCTATCGTTTTAGTTAGGTCAGTAAAATTGGCCAAGGCTAGTAATGGGGAAATTAGTTACTGAAAAGTTTTAATACAACTGTTTAAAAACAGGTGCATGAATGAAACTTTGAAACATTTTTGTAACTTTCAAAATATAAATCCTCCTAAAAATGTGAAATAATAACTAAAATTTAATGAGTCACCTTTTTTTCACATTTCTAGTCTTGGTCGACTTTACATACCTAAAGTGATAGATTACCCACAATTACAATTAGATTTTACATATTTTTAGTTTACCATCTAGATCTAGAATCTAGGCCTACTTTAAGGTTAAAACTTAAACTTACTCTTCAACTAATTTCCAATAAGTAAGAAAAAATCTAAACCCCAAATGTTTTCAATCCTCTAGCAAACTTACCTCAGCATATAAATAGTAAATGTAAAGGTCTTGAGTTTGGTATAGTTGTTTTCATTTATCACAGAGAAGATTGACACACACACCAACTTCCTTTTAACAAAAAAAAAACCCAGATAAAATCTAATATTTAGGACTTCAACAGACTAAAAAAAAACAAAGAAAATCTTTAAAATCATTATTAATTAACTTAGGCCTACTTGTTCTAATAAAATCTGATATTCAGGACCCTAATGAAATGATAAATTACCTATAGGGTAAAGACTTGTAATTTAACTAGTCTCACTAGAGGAGTTTATAAACTAACCATAGTCTATATTAGAGAAGTGCTGACAATAAGGCTAACCTTGGATTAATATAAATCACTTTTTTTATGTAATTGTTCAGTCAGTTGTAAATGTTAGAGTTTGCTTAATTCAATTTGCATCATACTCATTTAAAGTACTTAAATTCTTTTATGAAATATTGTTTTTTAGGATTAGTTTTCATCATGGCACAGCCGGCTGCTGTTTTCATGTTTGCTGGTGCTGTTGCTCTGGGCATTTTTATAAATTTCTCCATTCATAAAATTGAAGAGGGTAAGCTTATGTCCATTATTTTTTTATGAATTTTGAAAAGTACCACTTATTTTCTTGGGTGGGAGAGCACATGTTTGCTAACCTGAAATTCCAGTGTTTGAACCCCTATGCATATGAGTCCTATTAGCAATCCATCAAGGAGAAAAAAACAACTCCAAACTCAAACAGGAGTGTGGCCTTTTAGGGGATAGAATATACAACCCTGGTTTTTCCTTTAGCAGTATCTGCAACTGAAGTTTGTACCGACAGTACCTAATGTAATTCTTAGTGTTCCTTTGGTGTAAACAGGCAAAGGTCATGAGATGCATCAACATCAATTGCCCTGGTGAAGAAAATCTCATTAAAGGCTCATTAGTAGTAAAACAAAATATAGTTCTTAAATACTTGAATATCAGCAAATTATTTACTTAGAATGTTAATAGAATATTGGAATCTTAATAACTTATTTATACTGAAATATTTTTCTCCAGGCCATGTTGGAGTCTACTATAGAGTAAGTATTTTTAGTGAACACATGCGATTTAATGCATACAAAGTCTGCCTATTCTTAATCACTTTATTAAGTCATTGATTTGAATTACACGTTTAAATAGATTAATGGTTATAAACTTAATTTTCTAGTAAAAGTTAAGTTAATCTAAATATTAAAAAAAATTTTCTAAGTAATATAATTAAGCTTTCTTATTGTGATATATGTAAGGATTTGGTATGATTTAATACTATTGGCAATGGCAAATGAATTTATTCAATTGAAAGAAGATTACATGTTTTTCTCATAGCTTTCATTTATAACTATAATTTTGAAATGTATTACTTCAGGGTGGTGCATTGTTGTCCACAACAAGTGAACCAGGCTATCATTTCATGCTTCCAGTTCTAACATCTTTTAGGTCTGTTCAGGTACGTAGAAGTTTTTGGTTTTTTAATTGCCTTTGGTTAAAAATATATAATTAATTTAACTTGTATTTCTTGTTTACTTAGCGAATAAAATAGTCTGTTCTACGTTTTATTGTAAATAGGTATAAAAACTTTTTCTTTTAGACTACGCTGCAGACAGATGAGGTTAAAAATGTACCCTGTGGAACAAGGTACTTAAAAAAATTAAATTTTTCCTATAGTTTATTATTATTATGGTTTGTGAATATCGTATGTACATTTTCTTCTTTTTTTCTATCAGTGGTGGTGTAATAATTTATTTTGAAAGGATTGAAGTCGTCAACAAGCTAGATACTTCTGCAGGTATGTTTGTTAAATATTTGAAAAAAAAAACATAATACAGAATGTAGAGAAACTAGTCTTTTTTGTACTCATTTTTTTTTCTAGTTACACAAAAAATAACAAACTCTTAAATATTTCAACATATTGGCATTTTTATGTTTTTTAGTTCTTAAAAAATCAGCATTTAAGTAAAAAAAATTCCTGTACTAATATGCATTGTAAATTTTGTTTATCTAGTGTTTGACATAGTCAAGAACTACACAGCTGATTATGACAAGACTCTGATTTACAACAAAATTCACCATGAGCTCAATCAGTTTTGTAGCAGCCACAACTTACAGGAAGTCTACATTGATTTGTTTGGTAAATTCTCTTGTACATCAGCTTACATTTTTAGATCCTCCTACGTCAGATGTGAAAGCTTTGAGAAATTTGTTTTAAAGTTTAAAAAAAAAATCTGACCAAGTTATTGAAGATTTGCTATCTAAAGCTCTTGTTTTTTCCCCCCTTACACTACAGATCAAATTGATGAAAATTTAAGAAAGGCACTACAATCTGACCTGTATGAAATGGCACCAGGTCTCACTGTCCAAGCAGTGCGCGTGACTAAACCAAAGATTCCAGAACAGATTCGCAAAAATTATGAGGCTATGTAAGTTTTTTTTTTTCAGACTTTTCAGTGAATGCATACAATTAACTCACACATAGCTGTAATGCCATTTTGTAACATGCTCCCAACCTACCCATCGTCACCTGGGTGTTTGCTTTGGTAACCAAGTCGTCCAATGATTTTTCTGTGATTTACAGACATAATTATTCTTTTACAATCTATTTTTAATTTGTAAAACAATAATAATTTTCTAGGGAAGGTGAAAAAACAAAATTGCTCATTGCCATACAGAAACAAAAAGTTATTGAAAAAGAAGCTGAAACCGACAGGAAAAGGGCCATTATAGGTGAGGCTAATTTGTTTGTGTTTTTTTACATTGAATATCGTTAAAATTTTAGTGGACTTTCTGAGACATTATGCATTTTTTCATCATTTTTATCACCTTTAATATTAAATTTCAGCCTCTTTCCTAGATATGCTAATATCATCCTATTTGCTTGTTATAAATTATTAACCTAGCAGTGATACCTTGTTTATTTTTAACTATTTAATTAATAGCTAAAATATTCCCTTTGTACAACTATTTCTTTTAAATAATATTCTAGAGGCTGAGAAGATAGCACAGGTTTCAAAGATTCATTGGGAACAAAAGATTATGGAAAAGGAATCTGAAAAGAAAATGTCTGAAATTGAAGGTATAGACTTCAATCTCCATTTAATGCATTAAAATGTAATGTTTTTCTTGTTATCAATAGTTTGCTATAAAACAACTGAAGGTAAACTAAATTTATTAAATTTGTGTGTGTGTACCTATATATATTGTTACGACCCCCTTCTCTAATCCTTTCGAATTAGTCAGGGAATCGTAAACAAGAAGAAGAAAATAAAAATAAACTCCAACTTCAGTGATCTCTATTTATTTCCACAAATTACAACACTTAAAGTTAACCCGCCACCAAAGTACAACAATCCGAAATATACACAACTAGCTACAACAACTAAAGTCCTTAGAACGACTACCCTACTTGTTCCTAACTGTCTAGCCTAGCCTAGGTCTAATACATGTCGTGGCTTTCCACTAGCTCACAGAGACGACCCATGTCTGTCTCCTCTAGACCTAGCTATCCCAGACGAGTCCGTCCGTCTCCGAGTGTGTGTCTCCGTGTCCCCCTAGCCTCCTGTCTCCCTCCTAAAGTACTCGTCCCCGTGCGTCACCGTGGGAACAATTTTAATTCGTGCCTGACCCTAGGTCAGATCCGTCCATGGCGGTCCACTCGGCCCTGTCCGATCTGGAAGGTTTTCCCAGCCGTAAATCAAGGGCTATGTTGGCCACGTTAATAGCCGAGTCCCGAAGACCCCAATTCTGCCACGCCCACAGCGTGGAATCTAATCCGTGGTGGCCATCAAAACCCCCAGACTCTCACGGCCTAAACTGGCCAGTGCATTAACATGCCTAAGCATTTCATTTTAATTACCTGGCCCTCCTCGATGGGGCCAAACCCAGGTAAAGATCCCTTGGGATCGTAACAATATGTATATATATATATCTATATATATATCTATCAAAACAGATGCTACACATTTGGCCAAAGAGAAGGCTAAGGCAGATGCCGACTATTATAAGGCTGAAAGAGAATCTCTAGCTAACAAGGTAACAATTGTAGTGTAATTTCTATTGCACCTATTTTAGGTAGACATTTATAGAGATTAAATATTGTATTGAGATCCACTAAACTATTTTCAAAGATTGTTATAAAAGTACAAAATGCACGGTGTATATAAAAGCTTGAACATGCTTGATGCTACTTATCAAGTGAAATTTGTTTTACTTTTTAGTTCTAATCTAGAAATCCATCAGAAATGTATAATTTTAAAACTTGGATTGATGAAATGTGTAACAAAATTTTATTTTATTTAGGCTAAACTGACCAAAGAGTATCTTGAAATGCTTAGATATCAAGCAATAGGCAGCAATACCAAAATTTATTTTGGCAATAATATTCCAAATGTGTTCTGGGACCCTGCTATCTCTGCACCTAGTCAATCCTGTTCTGATGGCAGCACATCCACAACGGAGGTTGGTTCATTCATTTAACTTCATTTCCAAAACTTTATTAATTAAATTGGTTTTGAATAGCTATGAAGTCTTGGTTTTGGATCCAGGGCATGAGGCAGCAGCTTTAATTGATACCTGACACTAATTAAGGAAAGTAAAGGATGCTTGGCCACTATTTCTTTTCATTAGCCAAGGTTATTTAAAAAGGTGAACTCTACCTCACCTGCCCAATTGAACATGAGGCCTGGGAGAATAATTTTACTTTTTCTCAATTCTGAACAGCAATTTGATTAATGTGCATACTGATTGTTGTATATTATTTAACATGTAGGTTTATATTAATAATGTTGTACAATGACCACTTCTACTTCAGAAGAAAAAGTGAAGCTTGTCTGTCTAAAACAAGTGTGTGCTTCAAAGTGTGACAGCCTTCTATTCCATCACGGGTGCCTTTGCTCAAGCCGAAAGCCAACACATCTTTTTCCTCAAAGTTCTTTATTGTTTACTTAAATTTTTAAGTAACTTAAAATTGTCCCCACCAATTTAAAGTTGTTTTATTTTATTTTGTCAACATTTTTTTTATTTTGACATTTTTGGACAATTTATTAATTTTTTATATCTATTATTAGATAATAGAAAAGCTGTTTGTAGGATTTTGTTTTCAAAAACTGCAAAGTTTGAAGTGTTTGAACTGTATCCATGTTGGAGTATCACTGTTTTTTCTTTCTTTCAAGTGCATTATTTCTGGGCTATTTTCCAGCACCTCAATTACTACACTACTGAATCTTATGGTTATTCAGTTTCTTTTTTCAAAATCATAAATTCATTAGCTCTTTTCAATTCTCATTATTCATTCATCTCTACACTTTCTCTAGCACTGGTTTATGTTCCATATACTTAGAATTTAAATATTTAAAATTTTTGTTTGCCTGTATGATTGTAATAAAAGTAAACGTTAGTAAAGAAGGCATAATAAATAGATAAGTATTTAGCTGTATGGAAACTAGAGATCTTTAGAACAGGATTGAAAAGAGTTATTATTTTGGACTTGTTTTCCTTGTTTTGTTATTTAGAATAGTGCTGTATTTTTAAAAAATGTGATTTAGAATGTATTAATTCCTTTAAGTAAAGCTGAGTATGTGTATTGATTTTTTTGAAAGCATAGACTAATGCTTCATCAGCAAGAAAGTTTTTAAGTGTGAACATGCTAATCATACTTTTTTTTAAAAATTATTTTTTCCAATATATGTGTGTATAATTATGTATTTTTCTTTTAATTCTGATTGCATAATGATTAAACTTTCAATATGTTCAATGTGATCCTTTGTTCTTACCCAAGATAATTAAGCTTTAAAATAGAATGCTTTATGTACAGTTATGTTCCTGACATTGCTAATGTAACTAGTTAAAATACATTGGGATTACATATCATTTTGCTAATATTTTTTTCCAGTAATTATTTTGTAAACAAATTTTTTTTAAATGTATCAAGAATGGGTTTTAAGGGGTACTTGATCATTATGTTGAATTAGGCAATGAAGTCAGGAGTGGCTGCAGATGTCCTTTCTATTAAAGCTTTTCATTAATCAGATTATTTTAAAACAATTTCTGAAAGGAAATTCAAGTCTTTGCATCTTCTATGAACTGTGGTCATGTTATTGCTTACATTTTCGAAGACCTATTTATGGCTGTCTTGAACTGAGCATTGGTTGTGAGTCACTTTGAATGGGATGATGTAAATTATTTTCACAATTGTATGATAGGAAAAACAGTTTTTTAAAATGATGTGACTGTTCAATTGAATGCGTAGTTCATCATTATGAATAACTAAGCTTAAATAATCAAATTTTTTATTTCATTGGAGATGTTATATATTTTTGTCTGGCAAGAATGTTTGTGATAAAAATAGTTTGATTAGAAAAGTATTTTAAAATAGTCCCTTTCTATTTAAAATATTTGTTCAGGTTTGCCTATTATTTATTGTGTGTTTAACAGTAAGGAAGTGAATTTTATTTTTAAAAACTACTTTAAAGCCAAAGGATGATTTGTAGTGTACCTAACATTAAAATATACTACCACTTAGTTTTTTTATCTTATGAATGTTTTTGTGTTAGTTTGTTTGAAATAATGTTACACAAATTTCTATCAATTATTTAGTAAAAACTTTCATTAGAATTCTTTACATTGTATAAATAAAAAACACACCATTAAGTATTAAATAACTTTGTATGCATTTTTAAAATACACAAAATACATGATACAAAATAATTTTTTGTAAAAAAATAAATATGACTACACAAATATATAGTTATGTATATTTTCATTTAAAAATATTTGAAATATCAATGCACATTACTTGTGTCAAAATTTGTGTGCTCATATTTATCAATTCTTAGCTAATCAAGCACTGCCGCAAAATTGCTTTTTCTCTATCAAACACCTTTGAGTATTTTTTGTAATTTCTATGTTAAAAATAAGATCCTAAAAAGTTTCCATTCCATGTTTAAAAGATATTATGGTACCTAAAGTAATTCACCTTTTGTAAATGTTCATTATTTTTAAGATTGTTATGAATAAATTTGAATTAAAAAATTGTTTAAGTACTAAACTGTTCTATACTGTGTGTGAATTAAAGTATTCACAGTTTTTATTGACTAGAAAGTTTTCTATTAAACATTACCTATAATGGTTTCCTTGAACCATTGTTTTTAAAGCATTATTTGTTTTTATAACTTATCTCCAAGTTTCATCTTTATTTGTATATTGAATGCCCAAAATTTAAAAGAGCACCAACAGTTTATTCCAGTTGCTAACAAAGACACTGATGGTTATAATAATAGCAAAATTGTTGACATCTTTAGAGGCCTAAATGATCCACATTTTAATTTAACAGTATCAACATTTCTAGTTGGATTGACCTTGTCTATTCATTACTTCAGTATCAACAAATGAATTGAAAAAAGAATTCATGTTTAACAGATTTTAACAGAATAATACATGATTGCTTAATTGTTGTTCTGAACTTCTGCAATGAGATAGGCCTTTATGTATGGTGATTTTTAAAAATAATTTTCATCATTCAAATTAATCATTCAACGTTGTCCAAGGTTGAGGTCATGCTTTTCATCCCCCCCCCCCCCCCCCCCCACCATCACAATTTGAAAAAATGACTTACGTGAGTACTAATAGGTATATATTGGTTTATTATAACGTTTTTGGTTTGAAAATTCGAAATACCCCCCCCCCCTCACATCGTCGTCCGGACCTCCGTCTCCATTCAAAGTGTGACGTAATTATTTATGGGCGATGACCCCCTGCGCTATACGTGTGGAGTGGCGTTTTCATTAAATGCTCTACTTGAAACTAGATAGATATAGGCCATAAGGTGACTAAGGTGGGGAAAAGCAGCCAAATTAGTCAATACATCATCTTTCAGGTGTCTCTGGGTAGAGGGGGGGGGGGAAGAGACACTACTCCCCCCCCCCCCCCCCACGAGAATGTTCACCGCAGTTTACTCGTGGGACGAAACAGAAAAAAAAATTAAATTCCCCTTTCCTAACGAACCGCAATAGTTCTTTCGGACTTTTTTCTTCAAGGGGGGGGGGGGTGCACATGAACCCAGTGCCGGCGCCAGGTTATTTAGCGTCCTAGGTAAAACTTATTAAAAGCGGCCCCCCCCCCCCCCCCCCCGCATTTTTTTTCGTGCACCCGGGACAAACTTTCGTTTTGCACCCCCCCCCCCCCCTCAAACTTTCAATTAGCATCCCCCACATCAAACTTTCAGTTTGTTTTTCCAACCTATTTTGGCGCCCCCTACGGCCAGCGCCCTAGGCGACCTCCTAGTTCGCCTTATTGGTAGCGCCGACCCTGCTTGAACCTTACGGGGGGCGGACACCGGTAAAAGTATATATTTACATCTATCGGCAATATGTCTAGAAGTTAGTCCTAACTCAAGACCTTCGGGATAGCAGCCTACCACGCTGTCCCATCTATTCACTTAAAGAAGGCTATGTTAACTAGTGTTAGTTTTACTGGATTCCAAAATGTAAACAAATGCAACATTAAACAAGCATTTTGGTGTAATACAGGCTGTTATTTAACTTGGCTTCAACATGGGTCGAAACTTTCAAAAGAAATCACACCCTTTTCTATAGAAAAATGATTCTTTTTAAACTTGACATGTAGATTCTAAGTCAAGATCCGATCAATTGCAAATTATTTATGCGATTCAACTGTATTAAAACTAATATGTATTAGGCTAAATATATGAAGACCTAGATCTAGGCCTATAACTATAAAAAATAAATTAAAGTGCATCTTTAAAATAAAAGCTCAGATTTATCAAAGATTTTATTTTATTTAAATCCTTCATGACAAATAGGGTATGCCTAGCGCTAGGCCGTGTGAAAGGGGTCGTGTCCATAAATGATGTCACACTTTTAAAGGCCTTCGTGCCTACTATTGTTACTGTAATTGAATAAATTGAATTGAATAAATTAAATAAATTGAAATTGAACACTCGTAAGGGGGAGGGGGGGGGGGGGTCTGTAATTTTGTGACGGTGTGTGATGAGGGGGAGGTTGGTTCCGATGGTGTGACGTCACTTTTTGTATTATAAAAAAGCAATGTTAGAAAACTAGTTTTACCCGTTATTTTGCGTTTTAGAAAACGGTTTTAATAAACTGTAATATGAATTGATCAAAATACCTTATGTTGACAGAGTTCGGACAAGATTTGGGAAAATATCGATTATTGATGTTTTAAAAAAAAGTCAACAGCAATTTTGAGGGGGAGGGGGTTATAGGCTGAGCTGTGACATCATTTTAGGGGGGGGGGGGTCTGGCTTTTTGTGGCGACATTTGACGGAGGGGAGAAGGTAAACATCGTCAAAAAAAGTGTGATGTCATTTATGAATGGGACGTTGTGAAAGGAGGGTGCTAGTAGTGGGCCATATCATTTGTATGACATGTATAAAACGTCTGGTACAGCCAGTGGCGGAACTAGAATAAAAGGGCCACCCCGCAAAAAATTTTTTTAGGCCCCCCCCATATATATATAGGCCTATATATATATATATATATATATATATATATATATATATATATATATATATATATATATATATATATATATATATATATATATATATATATATATATATATATCTAATATATAAAGCTCAGTTCTGTATGTAATGTATTTGTATGTCGTTGTAATTGTACGATTTTAAGTGTTAGAAAAATTATCGTGCGCATTTGTCTAAATTTATGAGCTAAAATATTACCATTGAAAGTGTTGGGAAATAATTTTCATTTTTCAAATTATAGTAATAATTGTCGGCATGTTCATTAAACACAAGTTTTAAAAAAAATATCATCTTTTACAAAAATTCTAATTATGTCTTTATTTAGTCCTATAGCACTTACTTCCCTTTGATAAATTAGGAAAAACACAATTACTTCCCTTTATAAAACCATTGCATTCCGTGAAATTAATTTACTTTTTAATTACTTTGTTTTGGTGTTGGGAAAAAAAATAATTACATAATTAGCGGGGATTGATCAAGTGCAAATGTTGTAGGTATTTTACGGATAAGCTTGGAGTATTAAAATTGTTTATTAAATTGAAACAGGCGCGTTCGTTTAAGTGAGTGCAAAAGACTGTGAATAAGTTGGGGTACTATAGTCGTTCATTAAGCTAAAACAGGTGATTCCGCCCCGGGCGTTTATGTTCGCGTTAGTGTTTTCTTTGTGTTTAGGTGGGTTTGCGTTAGTGGTTGCGTTTTAATTTGGTTCGTTTTTGTTCTTTCTTTTTTCGTTTTTGTTTGTGTTTTTTTTTGTTTGGGTTTGTATTTGTGTTTTTGGTTGGTTTTGCGTTTGGATTTGGTTTGTTTTCGTTTGCTTTTTTCGTTGATTTTTTTTTGTTGGTATTGGTGTTTGTGGTTGGGTTTGTTGTTAGGTTTTTGTTTTCGTTTGCTTTTTTGTTTGTTTTTTTCTTTGTGTTTGTATTGGTGTTTGTGGGTGTGGTTGTGTTTGTTGTTAAGTTTTTGTTTTCGTTTGTATTTGTAATTGTGTTAGCGTTATGTTTGCGTTTTGTTGTTTTTGGTTGGTTGTGGTTTGGGTGGGCAATGCCGGGTTTATGATGATTACTAAACACACAGGTAATGGTCTTTAACAGAAAGGTTTTTCACAGAAGCCAGAGCAGGGCCTGGCCGGGACGGCTAGTCTAATATATAAAGCTCAGTTCTGTATGTAATGCATTTGTATGTCGTTGGAATTGTACGAATTTAAGTGTTAGAAAATTATCGTGCGCATTTGTCTAAATTTATGAGCTAAAAAATTACTATTGAAAGTGTTGGGAAATCATTTTCATTTTTCAAATTATAGTAATAATTGTCGGCATGTTCATTAAACACAAGTTTTAAAAAAATATCATCTTTTACAAAAATTCTAATTATGTCTTTATTTAGTCCTATAGCGCTTACTTCCCTTTGATAAATTAGGCAAAACACAATTACTTCCCTTTACAAAACCATTGCATTAGTTGAAAAGCATTTACTTTTTAATTACTTTGTTTTGGTGTTGGGAAAAAAAATAATTACATAATTAGCGGGGATTGATCAAGTGCAAATGTTGTAGGTATTTTACGGATAAGCTTGGAGTATTATAATTGTTCATTAAATTGAAACAGGCGCGTTCGTTTAAGTGAGTGCAAAAACTATGAATAAGTTGGGGTACTATAGTCGTTTATTAAGCTAAAACAGGCGATTCTGCCCCGGGCGTTTATGTTCGCGTTAGTGTTTTCTTTGTGTTTAGGTGGGTTTGCGTTAGTGGTTGCGTTTTGATTTGGTTCGTTTTTGTTCTTTCTTTTTTCGTTTTTGTTTGTGTTTTTTTTTGTTTGGGTTTGTATTTGTGTTTTTGGTTGGTTTTGCGTTTGGATTTGGTTTGTTTTCGTTCTTTCTTTTTTCGTTTTTGTTTGTGTTTTTTTGTTTGGGTTTGTATTTGTGTTTTTGGTTGGTTTTGCGTTTGGATTTGGTTTGTTTTCGTTTGCTTTTTCGTTTTTTGTTTGTTTTTTTTTTGTTGGTATTGGTGTTTGTGGTTGGGTTTGTTGTTAGGTTTTTGTTTTCGTTTGCTTTTTTGTTTGTTTTTTCTTTGTGTTTGTATTGGTGTTTGTGGTTGTGGTTGGGTTTGTTGTTAGGTTTTTGTTTTCGTTTGTATTTGTAATTGTGTTAGCGTTATGTTTGCGTTTTGTTGTTTTGGTTGGTTGTGGTTTGGGTGGGCAATGCCGGGTTTATGATGATTACTAAACACACAGGTAATGGTCTTTAACAGAAAGGTTTTTCACAGAAGCCAGAGCAGGGCCTGGCCGGGACGGCTAGTATATATATATATATATATATATATATATATATATATATATATATATATATATATATATATATATATATATATATGTATATATATATATATATATATATATATATATATATATATATATATATATATATATATATATATATATATATATATATATATATATATATATATATATATATGCTCGGCTTTCACAGTGGTTTAAAAACAGGGAAAAAGGATATACAAGAGCGTGGGGTGGTGTCTATAGAATAAAGATAACCCAACCGCAGCTACGGTAATTTTTTTACAAAACAACCATCAAGTCAAAAATAAAAGAAAATTTACTTTTTTTTTTAACTATAATTTTTTTTATTAATGGTCGGCTCTGGGCCCCTAAATGGCGTGGCCCCCCCCCCCCCCCCCCCCCCGCATTGCGGGGTCTGGCGGCACTGTAGTTCCGCCCCTGGGTACAACCTATTTTCTACTTGTTTATCGTGATATCCAGTTTTTAATAAGTTTTAGTCTATGCAGAACAAACACAATGGTCGATAACCTTCATTGTTCATGATTTGTTGAAGTGGATTAAAAAGAAAGACGCCAGGCCACCCCATAATTTTTTTCTGGTAATTTTTAAAATCTAAATATTTTTCAGTATTTTTTTAAATGTTAATTTTAGCTCGAATTAATTACTATGCACGATTAAAAACATATTAAACATTATTGTATGTGGTTGACTATGGTTTATGACAGTAGTAAAACATTAAAAAGACAAACTGTATTTTATCCAAACCATAATTCAGGTCGACGGAAGTGACCTTAGTAAGTTCCTTTTGGCTTCAGCCTCCATTTGGCTTTGAACGTGTGTAAGTTTGTTCCAGTGAATAATAATAAACATTTGTTTAGATATCGGTTTTAAACGAATAATGTTTTTCTTTTCTAACTCTTGATGATTTATGCTTAGGTTATATAACATTAATTATCCCGTTAAACCCTTAATTTTTTGTGCAGTAACAATTTACGGCATTTTATAGTAAACTAACCAGTTATCGATAACAACACGTGCGTGATTGCCTTTGGCACGGAATAAAAAACTGAAAGGGGAAATTATTTTAAAACCATGAACCTAAAATCGACATAGTATTTTAAACATAAAACTGGTTTTTTTTACAAAACATTTTCATTTTTTGGATGTTTGTAATATTAAAATGTTTGTAAAATGCAGATATGAAGTGGCGTAACCAGACTTCAGGGTAATCTATCGTTTTGGGTACGTAAAATCGCCCGCGGCTATTAATGTACGAAAACGTTACCTCATTGTCAAGGCTGTAATAGAAGTATATTGTGATATGTTTGTGTCAAATATTATAGATAAATGAATAATAAACCTAAATCAATGGCTAAATATATCAATATAGGCCAGAAATTAACTTTAAACAGCAGTGCCTGCAAGCAAGATTTGCTATATAAACAGCGGCCATTTGTAAAATAGAGTGACTTCAGCCTGAATCTTGCGCTATATGTCAATAAAAATAAAACTTTAACAAGATGGCTGCTATAGTAAATGAGCATGGTTGCATCTGTTGGAAACATCGCTGGTGTTCATTTATTACTGAAAAGTTTTAATTCAATTGTTTAAAAACAGGTACATAAATGAAACAAGGAAACATTTTTGTATTTTTCAAAACATAAATCCTCCTCAAAATGTGAAATAATTATTAAAATGTAAGGAGTCACCTGTTTTTCACATTACTATTCGCGGGCGATTTTACGTACCTAAAACGATAGATTACCGACTTCCGTAATATGGGGGGGGGGGGAAGTATTTTCCCATGAAAAATGTCATGTGCTGTCATGCTTTTTTTTTTTTTAACAATTTCTGCAACCTTTGCAAAGGCAGTACCCCCCCAACCTAAAACACCTACTCAAAATACAACCTTCCCCCTACTCAAGATAGCAAGTTTCTTCCAGGCATAGCCCCGAACGCCCCTGAAGATAGTCTACCACCCACGAATGAAATACAATTTATAGGCTATAGAAAATATACTATATCATCCTCCCCCCCCCCTCTGGAAAGAGGTCTGGGAGAAATGCTGGATAGCAATTTAAAAATAAAAAATCTTCAAAATATTTAGATCTAGGCCTTCATGCTTGCAAACTTAATTGCTGAAAACAGTGTTTTTCAAAACAGATACTCTATTTGGATTTATGCACCTGCACATAAAATGTTCACTTTAAGGCTCACACACACTCCAGTGTCATGCTCTTTTTAAAAATCTTGCATGGTATGCACATTTTTATACCACCTGATGAAGTGACCTAGGGTTAGACTTGGTGGCTAAACTTAACCAATCGACACAGCTAAAAGGTTAAAGGCATATTCAATCTTCACTGTTGATAATCTTCTTAACCAGACATTGTTTGATGATATTTTAAAAAAATTGATAGATAGAACAATATCTTTGGAAGCTTTGTGGGTAATATTTTTGCGAAATTCGTTTTCGATAATTTAAGCCTCAGCAAAGTATGCAAATGGGATCTCCTGGGGGGGGGGGGGAATTTTTATACGAGTGTTCGATAATGTAATTGTTTTTAAAAAAGGGGTGCTAGGTTACAGGTAGTTAGCTAAACGCACACATTGCTGGCTAAATGAACGTCAATGCTAACCCTGTCCCTAACCCCAACCCAAGTCCAACCATACGCCTAACCCTAATTTCTAACCATAAAATTAGTCGAGTTTACATTACTACTAACAACCCAACATACCGATTTTATGAAAGTCTATTATCGGACATTGGTATCTAAAATCATCCCTACTTGGGTTTACATGTACCACTAAAATTAGCTAAAGAACAATTCTAAGGAAGTTGTTATTTATGATTTTTTAAACTTTTATATGAAAACAAAACTAACAGAATTATGATACCTCAGTGACATGTAAAATACAGATTTTAATTCTCTTTTTTTTTGGGAATGAAAATTGTAGGCTTTTACTTCAAAGCATGTATTTTGATATCAGTTTAGCTGAATCTATATAATTTTGTAAAATAAAATTTTTAGTTGAATTCCTCGATTGTTTTTTTTTTCAATCTTAAAATGGCAGATAAAATATCTTTTGAAACTTTTTATTTGCATTTATCCCTCAGTTGTCGTTACCCCTAATTAAACACTAAAGATGTCCGGAGGTCTTGATGTGCTCTCTCTTAAAGAGGAGGATATGTTAAAAACACTTGCTGCTGGTGTTCACCTTGGTTCAACCAATGTGGATTTCCAGATGCTCCAGTATGTTTTCAAAAGGAAGCCTGACGGTATGTTCAAAGAATTTTGTCTTTAATTTGTAATGCATGCTTGTTATGAAATTTTTGAACTTATATTTGTAAATTGGATCTTCTTTCAGGTATTTACATTATAAACTTGAAAAAGACATGGGAAAAGCTGCTGTTAGCTGCCAGAGCCATCGCAGCTATTGAAAATCCAGCTGATATTTGTGTCATTTCTGCTCGTCCCTATGGTCAGAGAGCTGTGCTTAAGTTTGCATCATCAACTGGATCTACTCCTATTGCTGGTCGCTTCACCCCTGGAACCTTCACCAATCAGATCCAGGTAAATCTTTTTGTGTTCAGTAATGAATGGCATCTGTTTAATCTTAGTTAATAAAACACTCATTGGTTAATTGTATTTTTTAAATAACTCTATAGGCTGCTTTCCGTGAGCCTCGCTTGTTGGTTGTAACTGATCCACGAATTGATCATCAACCAGTCACTGAAGCTTCTTACGTCAACATCCCAGTAATTGCTTTCTGCAACACTGATTCACCATTGCTTCATGTTGACATTGCCATCCCTTGTAACAACAAAGTAAGTTTATTAAAATTCATTTCAATGACAAATTAGTTTGATTTGTATGAGCAACACTAATGCTTTTTAGAGTGTGTAGCTTCTTACAGTTAGTAAGGCAACCAGAAAAATTTGTTTCCATTGTTATAAAATGTCCCAAAAATAACTTAAAATGACACCTGAGATAGAGACTGCACTTTCCTTGCATGCCCCTCCCCTCCCCCAAATGTAACATTAAATAGCAAGACACAATTTGAAAGGCATTTTTTTTTGGGTTGTCGACTTAATTTTAGAAAAGTTGTTGGCTTAACAACTAAGCTCACCTAGATCAATCATACAGGTTTTTAAAAGTAATCTTCTCGTTCTAGATTTTACAAAAAGTTATTGACAATTGTCATAGCACAAACAAAATTTTATTAGAGGTTGTTACCTTAGATTTTTGAATGATGTGGCGTTTTTAATCATAGTTTTTAAAAAAAAAATAAATCATGTATGATTAATGTAGCTGATTATGATTATTATGCTATGTTTTTTTAGTAATATAAAATTGGTATTAAAAATGTGGCAAAAATACTGCAAGATACAATCAGTATCCACCCATTACAGAAAATATGTGATCTTATTACCTTACAAAAATTGAACAAGTCAGCCCTGCTGCTTTTAATGGTTTTAATAGATTTTTAATTCATCTTTCTTTTATCCTGATTTCTTATTGCACAGTTTGGTTGAATTGAACCATTGGTTATTTATTGCTCATGTTATTGTTTCAAGGGCCCCCAGTCAATTGGCTTGATGTGGTGGCTTCTGGCCCGTGAAGTTTTACGCCTTCGTGGAACAATTTCACGTGATCATCCTTGGGAGATTATGCCAGATCTGTTCTTCTACCGTGATCCTGAAGAGGTTGAGAAGGAAGAAAAGGAGGCATTGGAGAGAGCTAAGGAGGAACTTCCAGTGACACAACCTGATTGGAATCCTGAAGCTGGTAAGTTAGAAAATCTGTTGCTAGTGATACACTTTTATCACTTTTCATTTTCCCATCACTTTACTTAAAGTTATCCATGATTTTAAATCTTCAGGTATTCCTGGTGCTCCTGATGTTAGTGACTGGGCTTCTGAAACAGTAGTACCAAATGTTCCATTGCCTCCTACATTTGCTTCAACAACTGATGAAACTTGGAGTGTACCCAAGATGGAGGATTGGGCAGCTGTGCCTCAAGCCCAGGAACCAGTAGAGGGAACACCCAACTGGGGTGGTGCTACAAGTGAAAGCTGGGACTAAGCTTCTGTGCTCTGGCTGCATTTTATTTGTAAACTAAGAATTCTTGTTCTTAATGGAAATTTAATGGAACATTAAAGTAAATGTTAAAACATCTGAGTAGTGTTTCTTTGTTCACTGGCAGGTTAATTTTTGTGTGCTTTATTTTTAAAGCATCAGTTGCATTAAATTTAATTAAATGTTGATTCTGTTTGAATGTAAAGAGTATATTGATGTTTTTTGAAAGTGGGTCAGTCTTAAACATACTTTAAGCCTTTGTATACGTTCCTGTATCTATTTTGTGGTGTGGCCCTGGTGTTGTATACGTCTGTGAGAGATTAATTTATTTTCTTAAAACTCCGTTCACTTAACTGCTTAAAGTTCTGTGTTCACTTTTTATAATGATATATTGAGCCAAATATGGTTACCGATATTCATTTTATTCAGTAACTAATTCAGGGATAGCTTGTAAATAATATGCTGTTTTCAAATGTCTTCAAATTGTACTAAGAAATGAAAGGTCAGCTTACATTTTAATGTTACAAAAGTTTATAACTGCATTGATGGATGATGCCACCATGACATTATTGTGACATTTTATTTTGTGAAACTACAAAAGGCATTTAAACTTAATGAATGCAGACAGTTGGCTATTACCTCTACGTTGCGGGAACAAAGTTCTTTTCTAAGAATAGACCTATAGGAAAAATTCAGAAAGAACATTCTTAGTGTTTTTTTCAGCAAATTGTCAATCCCATTACCCACGAAGGAAACTAGTAGTTAAATGCCCTCGTTGGCTGCTGCTATCATCTTGTGTTGAAATAGATGGGGAAATCCCTCCTTAACATCTGGCAGACGGAGCCACAGAATGTGGACAACTGGGTGAGGAGCCACTTGGGAGTTCCTGCCGACAGATGACTTCCTTGATTCTAACGACAGGAAGTCTAACATTGGTACCACTTATTGTCAGACGTAATTACATCTGAATTATATGGCATTTCAGTTTATGGGACTAAGATAGTACTCAAGTTATCCTGAATTTTAAACATTTACTACTAGCGTATTAAATAATACTAGAATCTAGTAATAGTTAATTGGTATAGCCACATGATTCTCCGTCTGAATTGATTTTGCCGAAAGCTTGGTTTTACCCGATTAAAGTTCTTAAACATCAGTAGCTCACATGGAATACTGGATAGGTCCTCATAGTGTTACACACAATCGATAAAGAGAAACCTGTTTTAAGACAATAAACCGACATATACACATAAGGGTCCATAAATAAAAAAAAAATAGTAAATTGAATGATTTTCATAGATAAAATTAGAATACAAACTTTTACTAAAGTATAAGTTAGTATAACAAGCATTTAGATAACACGATACAAAAAGAAAAACACAAATCCACGAGGTCGAACTTGTCACCGCCCACTTACAATCGTAGTTTCATTCAATTTTCTCTGGGGATGGAGACTGTTTAAATTATTATATAAATTGTAAACCTATGGGAAAGAACTAGACAACTTTCTGTTATTGAAGAAATCAAGAAAAGAAAATGGGATAGGGAATACCCTACGCAAACCCCCCAACCAACATTACCAGGCAGGCGTTAAGTTGGAACCGGGCACGCGCAAAAAATAGGTCGATCAAGCGACCTTGAAGCTGACACTACAACGATGGGCAACATCTGGAGTCAAAATATGGCAGAGGACTCTGGAGATATTTGGTTGGCGGCCCATACCCCTGGGGTGACTTGAAATTTTCGGGGGGGGGGGGGGGGGGGGGGCGGAATAAAACTTCCGGGTAGTGGGGGGGGGGGGGGGCAGAACCCCATGAAAAGATGCCTGGAAGAAACTCAGATGTCAGAATTAAATGCTTATTACTTAAATACCGTCACAACTTTAATTGCTTCCCAGTTTTTCGTAGGTTTTGGATTATCATTCTTATTAGTTTTTTCTTGGCGCCAGTGTTTTGATTCATTTTTAATGCAGCGCTTTTAGTTTCCTATTTCCCTTTAGACAAATAATTTAGTTTTAATTATTTTATTGCTTTTTACGATTTAGAAACATTAAAATGCTCCAAAGTTAAAGCATTACAATATTACAACACATCAAAGTTTGAACACCTAGATTCAGCATGTAATCAGCATGTCTACCATTTGGATTTTGTCAGTCGGCCTTTAGTCCATGTCGGCTGGATGACAAGTCGGCATTTGGGATTGCATTATGGTATGCCGTCATTTTGTCTGGAGTTAGTGACGGCTATTAAGGGCAGATAATTTAGTATTAAACGATTTGAAACGAAGGGGAGGTAACAATTTCTGATTGATCTTTTCTTTGTCTGAAAACGGCTGCTTTCACTTGGGCAGGAGGGAGTAGTGTTGAATTCACAAATTACGGATTGCTGATAAGCAGAAAATAAAACAGCTAGATGGCGGCGTATACTACGTCGCGGGTCAGCTTGTTACTGAATATTTTGGCTTCCGTCTTTTAAGAGCTGTATTGTGTTTTGACAGTGAGATTGGTTAAACTAATTGAAATTTTAAGGATATCGAAAGTTTAAGAACATTTAAACTCAAGAGCAATTGTTTTATTTTTAGATCAAAATAATTTTTATTAAATTAAAAGAAAATTGTTCTAGCTCAATCCACACTTTAAGTCGGTTAAAAAAGAGTAAATTTGAACCCTTTGATAATCGTTACTTTCTTGTTCCCTGGAGGCGTTTGAAGGGGACAGAACTCTCGTCTCATTAAAGAGACAACTACTTCCTGTGTTAATGACTTATGTCTCGTGGGCTTTAAAGGCGAGGGGCTAACCTCGAAATTATTTACTACTTTAAATACGAAGAATGGTCGCAAGATAGCTATTATACTCTGTGTGAAATCTTTATTTTAAGTTAATTAACACACGCAAACTGGTGTCGATAACTAGTTACTAGAAAATTCAGTGTACCCCCAACAACCCTATCTTCAATTTTCATAAAAATATAGACTCCTTAAAATAACGGAACAAAATTACACGATATACCTTCAATTACCAAAATTCAAACCTAAATTAAAAGCTTCCTCATCACTTTTTTAAGAGTAAAAAATTATATAACGTTACTTTTAAACATCATTCCTCCTTCATTTAGATTTTAGCACATCAACACTGAATACAGCCCCCCCCCCCTTCCTCAACACATAACTGCCTGACGCCAGGGGTAGAGACACAAATTACATTTTAGTTTGTTTTTCTAAAGGAGGTTATTGGCCACTTGGGGCTGTGAGCTTTTAATCCGGTTGCCTGGTTGCTGCTGTATTCAAAACTTTGTTGTGGCTTGTGGTCAAATATCAGGACTACCACGAGTTTACCATGAGCGATGTTTTGGTTAAACCTTAAGGTTACCACGAGTTTACCATGAGCGATGTTCTGGTTAAACCTCAAGGTTACCACGAGTTTACCATGAGCGATGTTCTGGCTAAACCTTAAGGTTACCACGAGTTTACCATGAGCGATGTTTTGGCTAAACCTTAAGGTTACCACGAGTTTACCATGAGCAATGCTTTGGCTAAACCTTAAGGTTACCACGAGTTTACCTTGAGCGATGTAGTAAAAACTAAAGGTTACCACGAGTTTACCATGAGCGATGTAGTAAAACGTAAAGGTTACCACAAGTTTACCATGAGCGATGTTTTGGTTAAACCTTAAGGTTACCACGAGTTTACCATGAGCGATGTAGTAAAACCTAAAGGTTACCACGAGTTTACCATGAGCGATATAGTAAAACCTTAAGGTTACCACGAGTTTACCATGAGCGATGTTTTGGTCAAACCTTAAGGTTACCACGAGTTTACCATGAGCGATGTTTTGGGCAAACCTTAAGGTTACCACGAGTTTACCTTGAGCAATATTTTGGTTAAACCTTATGGTTACCACGAGTTTACCATGAGCAATATTTTGGTTAAACCAAGAAATTACCACGAGTTTACAATGAGCGATGTTGACTTGTGTGTTAAAACATCACTAATATTACATCAGTAGCGATATTTACTGAACTTTTGTCCATATAACAGTTGTATCGATGTATTGTGTTTTTAAAGCTAAATTTCATGTTTGTTATGGAATTATTAAATTAAAACTAGACAAGCATGAAAATAAAACGGTACACGTTTTTTTAAAAGTGGTAGACATTAGTTTACAGATTTTTTTTAAATTTAAACTATAAAGATCGTCAAATGTTCAGAATTTGATAATAGAAAAGTTTGAGCTTAATTTGGACAGTCTGTAACATGTTTACGCTATTCATGTACCAGCAGTTACGCAATGTGGATATTTTAATGGTATAAAATAGCTGGAGTTTGTTTTTACGATTAGCGCTGTGGATGCGTCTGGACTATTACCCCGTCCCACATTTAGTGAAAGTAGATACAAATTGTTGATCTATCTTTTGGGCGTCTCTGGTACCACAAGCCCCGCCCCCACACTTTTAAGTTTTAGAGTAGGTAAATAAATTACTTGTATCTTATGGGTGCTTCTCTGGTATCACTAGCCCCCCCCCCCCCCCACAGATAAAAAGGTAGATAAAACACTTTTATTTTATGAGTGTCGCGGATACAGTGTTCCAGACTTTATCCCCGGGGGGGGGGGGGGGGGACCGTTTTCCGGGGGCGGCGAACACTGGTAAAACTATATGTTTTCTATAAAAATTCCATTTCTTTCGAAGAGATGCCGGGAAGAAACTCAGCTCGGATATCACGCGACAATAGTTTTCAAGACTCGTTAACACACGCTCAAATGCAATTAGCACAGAATTTCGTGAATTATTTCCCCTTCACAAACTATCAGTCCAGGATAGGTCACTGTCTTCCAAGCGAGCCGGTAGATTTTCTTACACGGGAATTTCTCAATGAATGATAAATAACATTTTTAAAGGGTGATTTGGGAGATGGTTTAATGCATGATCTATAACTTTCTTTTGTGTGGCTGGGAGTTGTTTCATTCAATTGTTCCACGTTTTGATTTATTGTACTTTGACAAATTCAGTTAAAGTAACGCTCCGTAACCAAAAGCTTTTTAAAGCGATTGAAATTTTTTGTCACTGCTAAACGATATTTTAGGCTACAAGATGGCGCTCCCA